TTGGTCGGGCTGAGGCAGGATGGGTACTAGGGAAGTGGAGAGATGCTGTATTTTGGAATGGGAGACAGGGCCTTGGGTTGAGTCTCTCTCTGTACCCCCTGCTCTTCCCTTTCAGACATACATGCTGCACGACTCGCTGGAGCACGCCCAGCTCTTCGACCTGATGAGGAGGATGTTGGAATTTGACCCTTCCCGGAGGATCACGTTCTCAGAAGCCCTCCTGCATCCCTTCTTTGCTGGCCTCTCTGCAGAGGAGAGGATGCTGTGCGGGCGAGGCACCAGCCGGGACCTGAGCAGATGACGGCCGGGATCTGTAGGCGTGGATCAGTCTGGCCTCTGCAGCTCAGCCCCCCTCTTCTCCCCGAGTCCAGAGGGGCTGGGGCACTGCCACAAGGACCCTGCGGAGCAGAGGGGGAAGGAAAGCTCCATCGGAAAGCACAGATTTGTCTATTTATATGTTGTAAAGTTAAAATAAAGTGTTTCTTATTGTTTGATACTTCCCTTGTAGGCAGATGTGGAGTTGTATTGCTTCCAGCTTTGGCTTTTCTGCCAAAGGAGAGGGAAGTGGTGAAAAATTAACTGGACTCGTTGAGGGTGAGTGGGCTGAACTCGCCCTGGTCTCTGCCCTTGCAGGAGGAAGGTTCTAGAATCAGAGCAGAATAAACAGCTGCACACAATAGCACACATGAATAGTTGCACTTTATTTCAGGGAATCCCCCATAGTGGCAGGAATTGGTCATTACAAACATTAGGTCACAAATGGAATATCAAGCAGTGCCACAGCGCAGTGATCTTCATGTGTCTGTGACCAGAGCAGTACTCTGGGGCAGTTCCTATGATGGTGGGTCAGGTTGGGAATAGAAACTATCCCAAACACAGATTAAAAAAAAAGTGTTTCATTCTTTGAATTAACCGGCAAGGTAGGAGACAGGGGAGAAGAAGGGACCTAGACCACTTTCTGGGTCTTTGAGTGCTCCAGAAGAGCTCACATCTCACATGTGTTTCAGGTGTGGGAAGCCAGTACTTCCTCAAGAAACATCTGGATCTGAGGGGAAGTACAGTCAAATACCCAAATCTACCAGAAAGTGAGCACGCTGTGACATTAACACAGCCCAGAGCTGCCTACTGTGCCCTAAACACTGCACTGATCAGGACTGGGAATCCCTTTCCTTACATGAGGGTCTGTACCCTCCTGTTGTGCAACACTGTTCACTTTACTTCATTTTATTTTTTGTTTAAACGTGGGGAACCACTGCAAGACTGGCAACACGCAGGGCCTCAGTGCTTCCCAGAACTCAATCCCTGCATTTTACCTGCTCAGTGCCTTCCAGGCAGGTAACTTCAGCCAGTGGCCTGTTACTGCTCCGTGGGTACAAGCTACAGTACAACAGCCAAACCCAGAAAGAGTTTGCCCAGAAAGGGCAAGAAAAACCTACAGAAAGAAGAAATTGAACCAGCAAGTCTCTTATTGAGTGTCTTGAGCAAAGAGAGTGAAAATAAGGAGACTAAAGCTAACACTGACTACAGCAACAACCTTTTTAACCCACTGTTGCTTCCAAATATAAGACTTGAGGAAGTGGAAACAGCTGAAAAACCAAGAAAGGCAGAAGGAAACCTTGTGTTTGTGTCATAAATAACCACCACACTGCTGTCCTGTCCCAGTCAGAAAGAACCACAGCTTGGTAAATGCCACAAATGATGCTTTGCCCTGTCCACAGGAGAGGAACAGCTCGAGGGCAGGGCCACCCTCTATCCCAGCACTGCCAAGTCACTGAGCCCCTCCAAAAGCAGCTGAGGGGAACCAGGGCTCCAGCCAGCAAGGACAGAGCCCTCGGTCCTGCTGAGGTAGATATGGTGAGGTGCAGGGGGAGAGACCTCGGGGGCTGCAGGGTGAGTCCAGCACTCAGCCTCCTGGGTCCTTCCAGGCTATATTCATTCATTAACTGCTGCTTTCCAACTAGGGAAGGCTCTTCCCTCCTCCTTTGATACCCCTTGCCTTTATTCTAAGCAGAGGAAAGAGAAAGAGGAGTGTCTGACTAACTCAGATCAGAGCACATTGAGTCCATAGGTTTGGTGTGGTCCAGGCACTGGACCCACATGTTCCTGTGCTTCAGCCTCCACAGGGATCTGGCTGCCCTGGACAAAGGCACCGTTGGAAGGTCTGAAGCTCTCCCAGATGCCAGAGCAGGGCCTGTGCAAGGTTTAGGCGCTTGCAGGAGCCCTGGGGACACGTAAGGTATGAGAAGAGCAGCAGAGCTTCAAGCACTGCCCACACTCACGGCATCAGCCCAATTCCTCCAAAGGAACAGTTTGGCCTTACAGCACCTTCTGCATCTCCAGCGCTTCCCTGGCTCAGCTGCCAGGCATAAAGCCCTCAGGGGGCACACTAGATGCCAGTACTAAGCTGATTCCCAAAGCCAGCTAGCTAATGGTTCCTCAGCTCATCCCTGCTCCAGGCACTGCACCAAGGCTCCAGTGGGCCAGCAAAATGAACACAGGGAATAATAACCCAGTGCTTCCCAACAGTGCACGGGAAGACAGTGCACCACTAAAACAGATTCCCTATGGAAATTCAGCCTAGAACCCCCTGCCATACCCCTCCAGGACCGCAGCAGTTCTCACCACACCATCTCCTGCCAGCAAACAGGACCCAAGTCCTTCCTCAGGCTGGCTCCCAGCACAGACACACCCACAAGCCCACCCTACATGAAGCCTTTGATTCCAAAGGGAATGAACGGATCCATGAGCTACTTCCCAAGCCATACCAAATGTAGGAGGGATACTGGAAGCACAGTAGGAACTTACCCAAAACTTCACCTGCACCATACACCGTGCAACAGACCCAGAGCAACACTGCTCTGCTTCGCTCTCCTTTCCCTGGTTCAGCCACTCACTGTGCCAGAAAAGAAGAAAGAATAAAAGAAACAAATCCAAACCCCACAAGTATCCTGGAAAAGTTCTTTTCCATAACACACCTCAAGCCCACAGGCCTGAGCTTCACCCACAAAGTGAACAAAGAAAAGCCAACAGTATATAAGCAGTAAGGCCTAGCTGAGGACATCAGTGTTCCCAGAGCATGTGTGACCTGAGAGCCTCTGGCTCCTGACACAAGCTTTCTGAAGAGGGAATGCTCTCCATAAGGGCCTGGAGAGGGAGGGAGAGAAAGCTACACCTGCCTTCCAGAACACAAAATGGGAGGGGGAGTCAAAAAGAATACTGGAACCAAAACAGATTCTCCCTCAAAAGAAGGGATTTCTACACAATCAAGGGGTACTGTTCCCACCAGGATGTCCTTGCTGGGAATATCCAACCAGAAGGACCAGAAACACATCTCAAAGCTGCAAACTACCCTTATGTGTACCACCTCCCAGCCGGGCCTGGGCCACAACAGCCACCTTTGCCGGGGACAGACACCATCTTCCTGCACGTTCCTTCATCCCATGGCACAAGAGAATGAAAACAGCTTTGCAGGAACATTCGCTTCCTTTTTTTTTTTTTTTTTTTTTTTTTTTTGGTTCATTTTATGATTATTCTATTTTTT